AGACACCCCTTTGCATTGCATATAAGCAAATTATGAAAGTTGCCACCTCCGGCTGTTGTAGTACCCATATCTTTGGGTTGCTGTGAGTCTTCTGGGCTGTATGGCCATGTTCCAGAAGCATTCCCTCCTGAGATTTCGCCCACATCTATGACAGACATCCTCAGAGGTTGTGAGGTACAGTAGAGTCTCACTTATCCAACCTTCGCTCATCCAACATTCTGTATTATCCAACGCAGTCTACCTCACATCCAGATACATTGCAATGTTTTGATGTTAAATTCGTAAATACAGCAATTACTACATAACATTACCATGTATTGAACTGCTTTTTCTGTCGATTTGTTGTAAAACATATTTGGGTGCTTAATTTGTAAAATCATAATGTAATTTGACATTTAATAGGCTTTTCCTTAATCTCTCCTTATTATCCAACATTTTCGCTTATCCAACATTCTGCTGGCTCATTTATATTGCACTAGCTGTGCCCTGCCACACGTTGCTGTGGCCTATAGTAAAACTTATCAAAGTTGAGGTAGATATCTGGACTATTATGAAAGAGAGGTACCTACCTATTCCTTCCCCCTTTTCCTCGCCCTTTCTCTCCTTTCTTCCTTCTCTACCTCTTTCTTTCTTTCCTTCTTTCACTACTTGGTTTCATCCTTCTCTCTTTCCTTCATTCCCTCCCCCTTTCTTCCTTTGCCTTTCTTCCCTCCCTGTTTGCTTCCTTCTTTCTCTTTTTATTTCCTTTTATTTCACCACCATCATAACAATAACAATAATGCAATGCATTGCCTCTGGGACCTGACACCTCTCCCATTCCCCCTAAAAGGATCTCATAGGAATAATAGCATCATAATAATCATAGAAATAACAACCTTTACCCATCACGCGTTGCTGTGGCCAACCTTCCCTCTTTCTCTCCTTCTTTCCCTCCTTCCTTCCTTCCCTCCCATCTTTCCTTCTCCTCTTCCTTCTCTATCTCTTTCCTTCCTTCCCCCTTTTTCTTTCTCTTCTGGTCTCTTTTCTTCCTTCTCTCTTTCCTTCTTTCCTTCCCTCCCTCTTTCTCTACATCTTCCCCTTCCTTCACTCCCTCTTTCCTTCCTTCATTCCCTTTTTTCTTTCCTTCTCTCCTTCCTTCCTTCCCCCTTTTTCTTTCTCTTCTGGTCTCTTTTCTTCCTTCTCTCTTTCCTTCTTTCCTTCCCTCCCTCTTTCTCTACATCTTCCCCCTTCCTTCACTCCCTCTTTCCTTCCTTCATTCCCTTTTTTCTTTCCTTCTCTCCTTCCTTCCTTCCCCCTTTTTCTTTCCCTCCCTCTGTCTCTCATTTCTTCCTTCTCTACCTCTTTCCTTCCTTCCCCCTTTTTCTTTCTCTTCTGCTGTCTCTCTTTTCTTTCCTTCCATCTTTCCTTTTCTTTCCTTTTCTTCTTCCTTCTTTCTCTAACTTTCCTTCCTTCCCCCTTTTCTTTATCTCCCTTTCTCTTTCTTCCTTCTTTCCTTCCTTCCTGTCTTTCCTGGATTTTGACAGGGCGGGAAGGGGCGGGGTGGGGTTTGGAGGTGGCGTGAAGTAAAAGGAGGTAAGATTGGGGCAGGCGAGTGATGGAGCGTGAGGTTGTGTGTGTGTGTGCGGCAGCGGGGGGAGTGATGGAGCGTGGGGTTGCGTGTGTGTGTGCGGCAGCGGGGGGGAGTGGGGTTGCGCGTGTGTGTGTGGCGGTGGGGGGAGTGATGGAGCGTGGGGTTGCGTGTGTGTGTGGCAGCGGGGGGGTGTGGGGTGCGCGTGTGTGTGTGGCGGGGAGTGATGGAGCGTGGGGTTGCGTGTGTGTGTGCGGCGGGGGGAGTGATGGAGTGGGGTTGTGTGTGTGTGCGGCAGGGGGTGTGTGTGCGGGAAGCGGCGCGGCGGGGCTTGGAGTGGGCATGGCTTCCACAGAGGGAACTGTGTGCGCGCGCCAGGAAACTTGCGGCTGGGCACCAATGCGCATGCTCAGTTGTTTTGCCGTTTTGTGAGTGTGTTGTTGTGTTGTTTTTCATTTTGAGTAGATATGTTTGTACCTTATGGGTTGTGTTATGGGCATGGGAATTTTGGTTAAGTTTCGTTGGGTTTGTGAGTTTTGTTGTTTTGCCGTTTTGTGAGTGTGTTGTTGTGTTGTTTTTCATTTTGAGTAGATATGTTTGTACCTTGTGGGTTGTGTTATGGGCATGGGAATTTTGGTTAAGTTTCGTTGGGTTTTTTTGAGTTTTGTTGTTTTGCTGTTTTGTGAGTGTGTTGTTGTGTTGTTTTTCATTTTGAGTAGATATGTTTGTACCTTGTGGGTTGTGTTATGGGCATGGCAATTTTGGTACAGTTTCGTTGGGGGGTTGTGGAGTTTTGCTGTCCGGTTGAACCAACCTAACAGATTTATATATATAGATAAGCTGTCTATTGGAAACTAAACAAGGGAGGTTTATATATCTGTGGAAGGTTCAGGTAGGGAGAAAGAACTCTGTTCTGTTGGAGGCAAGTGTGAATGTTGCAATTAATCCCCTTGATTAGCATTGCAAAACCGGGCTGATTCCTGCCTGGTGGAATCCTTTGTTGGGAGAGGTTAGCTTGCCCTGATTGTTTCATGTCAGGAATTCCCCTGTTTTTTTTTTTAGTGTTCCTCTTTATTTTCTGACCTAATTTTAGAGTTTTAAATACTGGTAGCCAGATTTTGTTTATTTCCATGGTTTTCCCCTTTCTGGCCCATTTATCCACATGCTTCTCATGGATTTCAGTGGCTTCTCTGTGTAGTCTAAAATGGTGGTTGTTAGAGTGGTCCAGCATTTCTGTGTTCTCGGATAATATGCTGTGTCCAGGTTGGTTCATCCAGTGCTCTGCTGTGGCTGACTTCTCAGGTTGAATTAATCTGCAGTACCGTTCATGTTCCCTGATTCATGCTTGGGCAATGCTGTTGCGTTTGGTGGTCCCTATATACTCTTGTCCAGAGCTGCATGGTATATGGTAGATTCCTGCAGAGATGAGAGGATCCCTCTTGTCCTTTGCTGAACATAGCATTTGTTGAACTTTCTTAGTGGGTCTGTAGATAGTTTGTAGGTTGTGTTTCTTCATCAGTTTCCCTATGTGGTCAGTGGTTCCCTTGATAAGGTAAGAACGCTTTTCGTCTTTGGAAGTTTTTAAGAGGGAGACTTAGTTTAATCAAAACTTATATTTGGAGCCCTTCTGCATTACAAATTTACAGCACTGTGATTCTGCTTTAACAGCCATGGCTACATTGTATGAATGGCTGGGATTTGTAGTTTGTTAAGACCTAGAGCTCTCTGACACAGTTTCTAGGTGAGATTCTATTTTCTAATCTTAGGATTCCATAGACTGGAACTATGGTGATGTAAGTGGAATCATTGTGCTATAACTATGTCGTGTGTACAGGCCCCAGGTCTTGCTTGTGGACTTCCTAGGAATATCTGAATTATAACTGGCCCTTGCTATCTCCTGGAGTTTGGTCCAGGACCCATCATGGAGACCAAAATCAATGGATGCTCAAGTCCCATTATATACTATGGTGGTGTAAAAGGTTGTCCCTTGTTTAATACGGCTCTGGTCCAGCTTACTTGTCCGAATGTATCTCCCTCTACGTTCTGCCTCGCAGTTTAAGATCCTCCGGGGAGCAGGCATGTAGCCCGGGGGGGGGGGGGCTTTAGCCCCCCCCCCCCCCTGAAATTTTCATGGTGGTTAGCGAAAAGGCCTTACTGGTGCATTATTTAAACTGTTATGTTTATTCATATCATGATCTGATCACCATACTCAATATATCCCATATGCATGGGGGTATTGGGGTAATGATACAAAAGGTTTGCTAGGCTAGACCCTCTTTCACTCAGACTCAGCCCCCCACCCCAGCCCCCCGAAACCCCCCCTGAAAAAAATTCAGCCCCCCCCCCCCGAAATGAAATCCTGGCTATGGGCCTGCCGGGGAGGCCCTGCTCTCGGTCCCACCAGCCTCGCAAATGCGTCTGGTGGGGACGAGGGACAGGGCCTTCTTGGTGGTGACCCCCAGCTTGTGAATCTCGCTCCCTAGCAAGATTAGATTGGTGTCCTCCCTCCTTTCCTTTAGGAAAAAACTGAAATCATGTTGGCTAGCAGGCGTAACGGCATTTCGGACATTGAACTGGACCATATGGTTGTTTAATAATGTAAACGGCTATTTGATTATATAACTAATGTTTGTTTTTAATCTATTATGTATTTATGGTTTTTGTGTATTTATGGTTTTTTTTATATTGTTGTTTGTTGTTTGGAGAGGCACTAGAGCTTTCTGGTGAGGAATTCCAAATGGCCCTCCCTCAACTGCAAATCCCAGCATTCCCTAAGATGGCACCATAAAGTTAAAGTGGAATTATTGTGCCATCGTGAAAGGGTCCTTGTTTGGGCACTTTGTGGTGGATTGGAGGGACTTTTGGAAAGATTCAGTATGGGGAAGATTCCACATATAATATAGGTATTCCCTATAGTGTAGACTTAATGTAGCTTGATACCTTTAACTACTATAATTCAGTGTTACAGGATTTTAGGACATGTAGTTTGGTAAGTAGCCCACATTCGTCGACAGAGAGGATTGAAAGCTTTGTAAGACTACAAGTTGAAAGATTCCACAGTATTAAGCCATGTGTCAAAATGCATCCTTAGCTATCTGCATCCTTCTCACTTTAGGTCTACATTGTTTGTGGCCATTGGAAAAAACGCTTAAGCATTAGGTTAGTGGTAGGAAACTGCAAGGCGGTTGGGGTAAACTTTCTGCTGCATGAGGTCCATATAAATGACCTGTTTGTTTTGTGAGCAGACCGGGAATGGGAACTCGCATCAAGGAAAGTAACCAATTAGCCCTGCAGATACATGGCAGTCATGGAGTAACTTGCTGAAATTGCTCATAATTTCATTTAATTACTGTAAACATCGGAAGTTCTGCTTTTAAACCATTCAGTGACATCTCTCTCCTCTCTCCTTCCATCCCTGCCCGGTTTTGTACAGAAATGCCAGAAGCGTTTTCCATGTGAGCGGTTGGAAATGCTCCACGCCATCCGACAAAGGTCTCTCTTCTAGCAGAAGAGCGTTCTCCATTCAGAAGGTTGGGATGCCAAGAAATATGATGTCGGACTTCTCGGGAATGGTGTGTGAAATTCCTCCTGAGGTTCAGTTTGCGAGCTTTGGGAAAAAACATCACCTGGAGGGTGGAAAGAGTCACCCAAGGCGAAGAGGTTCCTCTTTGGTAAGTATCTTTGCATTCAAACATCTTTCAGCTTTATTTCAGCCTGTGCTTGACGGGGTTACACTCCCCCTGAAGGCGCAGGTTCGCATCTTGGGAGTGATCCTGGACTCATCGCTGAGCCTGGAACCCCAGGTCTTGGCGGTGGCTGGGAGAGCTTTTGCACAGTTGAAGCTTGTGCGCCAGCTGTGCCCGTACCTTGGGAAGTCGGACTTGGCCACGGTGGTACACACTCTAGTTACATCCCATTTAGACTACTGCAATGCTCTCTACGTGAGGTTGCCTTCGAAAACTGTTCGGAAGCTGCAATTAGTCAAACGCTATGCAGCCAGGCTACTAACGGGAGCGGAGTACAGGGAGTGCACAACTCCCTTGTTGCGCCAGCTCCACTGGCTGCCAATTAGCTTCCGAGCACAATTCAAAGTGCTGGTTTTAACCTACAAAACCCTATATGGTTCCGGCCCAGTTTACCTGTCCGTATTCTCCCCTATGAACCATCAAGAGCATTAAGATCATCTGGAGAGGCCCTGCTCTCGGTCCCTCCACCTTCACAGTCGCGTCTGGTGGGGACGAGAGACAGGGCCTTTTCTGTGGTGGCCCCCTGGCTATGGAATTCCCTCCCGAAGGAAATTAGATCTGCCCCGTCCCTCCTGACCTAGTGAAAACCTGGCTGTGGAACGAGGCCTTTGCGAATTGATGGGTGAGACTGATAATCAACCAAAGTACTGACCACAATACATGGACTGAATATACGGACTGAGTTGGACATGTTTTTATCTTGGCGAATGGCCTTTGTGTATTTATTTTATATGTATTGTTAATTTACTGTTGTTACATGTTGTTTTTAAACTTTTACTGTTTAGCATTGAATTCTTGCTGGTAGCCGGTCTGAGTCCCTCTACGGAGGTAGAGAAGATCGGGATATCAAAGTTTTAAATAAATAAATAAATAAATTTCAGGAGACCCCGGTGGCGCAGTACAATAAACCCTTGTGCCGGTAGGACTGATAACCGACAGGTCAGTGCTTCGAATCCAGGGAGAGCAGGGTGAGCTCCATCTGTCAGCTCCAGCTCCCCATGTGGAGACATGAAAGAAACCTCCCACAAGGATGGTAAAACATCAAACATCCAACGTCCCCTGGGCAACGTCCTTGCAGATGGCCAATTCCCTCATACCAGAAGCTATTTGCAGTTTCTCATGTCATTCATGACACAAAAGAAAAAAGCTTTATTTCTGCCACAGAACAACTTAGTTGTGTGAGTGACACTAAAGTTGGTGTCATCCAATATGGTAAATAATGATGTCGTTCCCGTGGATTACCTCCCAGACCCAAACGATAGTATGGTAGCAGAAATACCAGATTACTCCCTATTGATTCTTACCAGGTGTATATATGACCCAACTACACTTCCATGCTTTCTGAAATCTTGGGATTGGCATTTCTTGGGACCATTTTGCATGGTGTTGGGTTATGGACTCGGGTACAGATCCCTGGTCTAAAACAGGGGACTTAACAACATATTGATGGGCAGATGCAAACCAATATGTGAATATACCTGGGTATCTACACCAGTGTTTCTCAACCTTTGTAATGCTACGACTCCTTAATACAGATCCTCATGTTGTGGCGACTCCTAACCATCACATTGTTGCTACTTCATGACTGTAATTTTGCTACTCTTATGAATTGTAATGTTAATATCTGATGTGCAGGATGTATTTTCATTCACTGGACCAAATTTGGCTCAAATACCCGATACGCCCAAATTTGAATATTGGTAGGGTTGCGGGAGGATTGATTTTGTCATTTGGGAGTTGTAGTTGCTGGGATTTATAGTTCACCTACAATCAAAGAGCATTCTGAACTCCAGCAAAGATGGAATCGAACCAAACTTAGCACACAGAACTCTCACAACCAACGTAAAATACTGGAAGGGTTTGGTGGACATTGACCTTGGGTTTTGGAGTTGTTGGCCAATCACAGCAGGAGGAGAGCTTTTGGTGGGAGACTCACAATCTGTTTCTCAAAAGGACGAGAAGGACAGGTGGAGAGGTCTTCAGCCTTCTTTGGCAAAGGGATTCCTAAGACCATCAGAAATATGTGTTTGTTTATGGTCTTTGAGTGACCTCTCTGAACCCCTCCCAACCCTCAGGTTGAGAAACGCTGATCTACATCATGAATGTTGCAATCCTCAAAGCTGCCCTATGTCCAGGTTGATAGATTGATGCTGGAGTCAAGAGTTCACAGGCTCAAATCATGTTTTGTGTACCAGGAGCAATTCTGTAATCTACCTCCACATAGACAGTACAGCTTTTCTGCTCTCTCCAAGCTTAGTTGCAAATCCTCACAGTAGATTTTAACTACCAACTAATATTGCTGTGAAAGCTTTCTGCTGCAATGCTATGACATTAGGTGCATCAATACTGTAAAATGAATGAGGTTTGACACTACTTTAACCACCATAGTTTAGTGAGACATCAGCACCTTTTGGCAGAAAAAGATAAAGACCTTGTAAAACTACAACTCCTATAATCCCATAGCATAGAGCCATGGCAGTTAAAGTGGTATCAAACTGTGTTAATTCTACAGTGTAGATGCACATTTTGTTTTGAATGGACAATTAAGACTGATTCGCTTTACAAACGATCTTATCCTAATGGAGAAGAAAATACTTGAAATACTGTATTGTCAAAGGCTTGTTGTGGTCCTTGCAATTGGAAGAAAAAATGAATTCAATCATTTTGATAGTTTCAAGTGCAGAGTTTTCTTTAGGTTTTTTTTGTTTTTTGTTTGTTTTTGTTTTTTGTTTTTTTTGTGTGTGTCAGGAGTGAGTTGAGAAACTGCAAGTCGCTTCTGGTGTGAGAGAATTGGTTGTCTGCAAGGAAGTTGCCTAGGGAACGCCCAGATGTTTTGCTATCCTTCTGGGAGGCTACCCTCATGTCCTCGCATGGGGAGCTGGAGCTGACAGAGGGAGCTCAACCCTCTCTCCTTGGATTTGAACCGCTGGCCTATTTGGTCAGCAGTCCTGCTGGCACAAGAGTTTAACCCATTGTGCCACCAAGGGTGAACATCCCTTAACAGAATTCCAAAATCTGAAATACTCCAGAATTCAAAATTGTGGGTGGCAGAGATAGTCCGAAATGTCTTGAAGGCACACAATAATAACATTCTGTCAGTCTAAGTATCCTGATGATTCTTGTAGAAGTGATTAGATGTCTTTTGCTTCCAAGTAAACTGTTTTGTTGCTGTTTTGAAAAGAGTCATCGCCTTAGCCAGTGTGTAGGAAAATAGAGAAGTTGGATTTGAAGCTTTGCCATATGAACATTGCACCTCTTATTGAAATACAATACAAATATGCTATTGTATTTAATGTTTAACAAATGGCCTTTAAAAATGATTACAAGACATCCATATAGTAATTGCTTTTCCTCTGAAGCCACCATGCATCTAAATCTTTTCAAATCCCAGTAACTTTAAAAAGTTCATTCATATTCCTTCCCACTATTTCTCCTGCCTTTGATTGTTGATTGACTGCGAGCAAAACATCTTTCTCTGACCAGCATTACAAGCATAAGAATTAACAATCTATAACTACTGAGATTTAAAAAGATTTATATCCGGATTGTCACCTGATTGAAACGTCAGAGGAGTTTCTACTTGGATGCATAGCATGCTTCTGTTAGACTTCCTTTGCTTAGTATGCTTCCATTGTAAAGTATTTCAGCTATTGTACTCTTCTGTATATAATGATGTCTGTCCTGTGCTTTCAATGCACAAATAATAGAAAATAATATAATTTTAAAGTGTTGGAGGTGGACTAAAAGAGCTGTCTTGTGTAACGCCCTGGCATGCAAAAAATCACAACTAAAGCACTCCTGAAAGATGCCTATCCAACCTCTGATTAAAGATCTCCAAAGAAGGAGCGTTAACCATCATCCAAGGCTATTTGTTACACTGTTGGGAAATTCTTATGGTCAAGTCAATCTTCCGAATATTTAGATGGGATCTCTTGCTATTTGAATCCAATTACAGGAATTGTAATGTCATAGGATCTCTTATAATTTAGTATTTCATAGAATCATAGAATCAAAGAGTTGGAAGAGACCTCATGGGCCCTCCAGTCCAACCTCCTGCCAAGAACAGGAATACTGCATTCAAATCACCCCTGACAGATGGCTGTCCAGCCTCTGTTTAAAAGCTTCCAAAGAAGGAGCCTCCACCACACTCCGGGGCAGAGAGTTCCACTGCTGAACGGCTCTCACAGTCAGTAAGTTCTTCCTCATGTTCAGATGGAATCTCCTCTCTTGTAGTTTGAAGCCATTGTTTTGCGTCCTAGTCTCCAGGGAAGCAGAAAACAAGTTTGCTCCCTCCTCCCTGTGGCTTCCTCTCACATATTTATACATAGCTATCATATCTCCTCTCAGCCTTCTCTTCTTCAGGCTAAACATGCCCAGCTCCTTAAGCCGCTGCTCATAGGGCTTGTTCTCCAGACCCTTGATCATTTTAGTCGCCCTCCTCTGGACACTAGTTAGTACAGTCCACCTTTTGTGGGTTTGATTATTCATCCATTCAGATAAAATATTCTCTCTAGGAATCTCTGGATTTTACAATTATAGATGCAGCTGCAAACACCCCATCTTGAGGTTGTAAACTCCATGGTTTAACAATGTGCTGTGTAAGAAATTATTTCCTGAATCATCCACCATTTAGTTTCAGCAAATGAGCCTAGACTATGTAAAGAGAAAGAAAAGGTTTATTTGCATCCATTCATATCATTCTACAGTTTACACCAAGGTCCTCAAACATTTAAAGCTCCGACTGGAGTGGAATATAACTCAGACTAGACGTGAATACAGCTCAAACTGGACATGTTATTTTGTAGACCTTCAGGCCTTCCTCTTTCTTCACCTTCCAGTCAAGAAAAAGGCTGACTCTTCCAAGTCCAGGCAGAGTTAAATATTGAGACCATCTTAGAAACAGTTGAACACAATACAAGAAAGAGACAATAAGAAGAAACAAAGGTCCAAGAGCCTCCGTTTGGCCGGAACTGTGTTTATTTCCCAAAGACTTTGCCTCTCCTTGTAAAGACTTCGCAGTGAGACTCAGGAGGAGAGAAAGTCTAAAATTATTGTCAGTTAATAAATTCTGGTTTGATTCAACTATATAGTCTCCAATCTGTTCCCTGCACAGCCAGTTCACCATCCAAATAGTTAAGATATTGTGGGGGGCAGAACAGGGGGCAGATTATAGTTTCGAAAAAAACATAAAAGAATTCCTATGCATAGTGTACATATCTTTTTGAAGTGCAAAATAAACATGATAGAGCAATGCAGTATCTAAAATGAAGAACAATTTTAACCAACATAAACTTTACCAGTATTTCAATGAGAAGTGCGGGCTTGCAATTAGGATTGTTATTGTTGTGTGCCTTCAAGTAATTTCAGACTTAGCGCAACCCTAAGTTTCATGTTGAGGGAGGAGGTCAGATAAATGACATTGGAGGCCTTTGTTTACACAGTCTCGATCTTGTCTCCTCCTCCTGCCCCATGACTTCTCTTTGATAAAAATTAATGAATTGTGCATTAACTTTTCTCATTCAGGGAATTGCTGCAACCCCTTTAACATTTTGGTGGCCTTTTTTTTTGCACCATATCAATATAGGCAGCCCCCAAGTTATAAACAAGATAGGTTTTGTAGATTTGTTCTTAAGTTCCTTCCATCCAGGCATTGAATAGGACAATTATACATGCTTCCAGCAATGGCTTCAAACTACAAGAAAGGAGATTCCACCTGAACATTAGGAAGAACTTCCTGACTGTGAGAGCTGTTCAGCAGTGGAACTCTCTGCCCTGGAGAGTTGTGGAGGCTCCTATTTGGAGGCTTTTAAACAGAGGCTGGATGGCCATCTGTCGGGCTGCTCTGAATGCAGTTTTCCTGCTTCTTGGCAGGGGGTCGGACTGGATGGCCCATGGAATCTCTTCCAACTCTATGAGTCAATGATTCTATAAAGTAGCTGCGTCCGTAAGCTTCAGACAATGTCCAAGATCTAGAAAGTGAAAGTGTATGCAAAGCTATTAAAAACAGACAATACTGCAAACAAGCAGAGTCATAAAGCAGCCTGCATAACCATTAATCCTGTGTCACCTTCCAGAAAAACAGCATCATAAAATCATCTGTCAGGTCAGGCATATAACTAGATGGCTTCTGTGTAAAAAGTGAGACATTGAAAATAGTTCACACCTCGAATTCTCTTATTCTCTTGGCCTGGCTCTTTTCTTTAGGCTAGCAAATTTGTGTGGGTATTCTACCAAGTGCTGCAAGTCAGCTCTGAGGATTACCTGGGAAGGAATCCCACTGGAGCAATGCAGCACACCAAAATACCTGGGAGTTACCCTGGACCATGCTCTGACTAACAAGAAGTGGGTGTTAGAAATAATATCATATGAAAGCTGACTGACACAACCTGAGGATCACAACTAGGCACAGTGAAGACATCTGCCCTTGTGTTTTACTACTTTGCTGCTGAATACACATGCCCAGTGTGGAACACATCTCACCATGTTAAAACAGTGAATGTGGCTCTTAATGAGACATGCCACATTACCACAGGATGTCTGTGGAGAAACTGGAGAACCTATATTGTATTGTACCACCTGACATCCACCGGGAAGTAGTGACCAATAATGAAAGGACCAAGGCAGTGACCTCTCTGGCGCATCCCCTGTTCGGATATCAGCCAGCATGCCAACACCTTAAATCAAGAAATAGCTTCCTAATATCTACAGAGATACTCGCAGGAACACCTCAGCAAGCAAGAGTCCAAAAGAGGCAGACTAAAACCCGGAACCACAAGCCGTGGCTGATACTGGACAAGAGACTCTCTCCTGGGGACACATAAGACTGGGTGACTTGGAAGGTGCGGAACAGACGGTGCTCCGGTACCACAAGATGCAGAACCAATCTTCAGAAATGAGTCTGCAAAGTGGAGTCCATGACATGTGAGTGTGGAGAAGAGCAAACCACTACAATGCAGTCTGAGCCCTGCCACATGCAAAATGGAGGACCACCGAGAAGGCCCTCTCTCTCATAGGGTTTTCCTGGCAAGATTTCCCATATCTTTCTTCTCAGAGAATGTGATTTATTCAAGATGCTCAGTGGATTTCACAGCTGAGTAGGGTCTTGAATCATAGTAACTTGGAGTGCTACTCCAAACTCTGAAACCAATGAACTATCCAGGGTCTAAAAATACACTTACATACTAGATATTTACCTGACAATGGCTGAGTTGTTTCACAAGCTCAGTGGCTCGCTACCTCTGAGGATGCTTGCCATAGATGCAGGTGAAACGTCAGGAGGGAATGCCTCTCTAGAACATGGCCATATAGCCCGAAAAAACCTACAACAACCCAGTGATTCCAGCCATGAAAGCCTTCAACAATACAATGGCTGAGTTGATCTTGACCTTAGGTTTTAGTAGCTTGGTTGGTGATATCTGAATTTGAGGTACATAATTCTAAGTTTTAATATCGATTTGGTCAAAATCAGTTCATACCTGTATGACGTAAGGCAGCCTATGAAGAACTAGAGATAAGTCTGAGATGTTTATTCAAGAGCTATCCAAAGGAGTTGATAGATCCTTTCCTAAGCCTTACTAGGCTCTTCCAGATTGATTCAATTAGGTAAATACAGAAAAACTCTGGATTTGTGTAGCATAACAGGCAGAACTTTTAAAGGACAATTTATGTGTGTTTATATTTACCTGTTTCAACTGAATATTTCAAAAGAACAGACAAGCATCCCGAGCTCTGAGGATCACCTGGGAAGGAATCCCACTGGAGCATTGCAGCACACCCAAATACCTGGGAGTCACTCTGGACCGTGCTCTGACCTACAAGAAACACTGCCAGAACATCAAGCAAAAAGTGGGTGATAGAAAACAATATCATACGAAAGCTGACTGGCACTACCTGGGGATCACAAACGGACACAGTGAAGACATCGGCCCTTGCGCTATGCTACTCTCCTGCTGAGTGCGCATGCCCAGTGTGGAACACATCTCACCACACTGAAACAGTGGATGTGGCTCTTAATGAGACATGCTGCATTATCACGGGGTGTCTGCGCCCTACACCACTGGAGATATTACACTGCTTAGCCGGTATTGCACCACCTGACATCTGCTGGGAAGTGGCAGCCAATAGTGAAAGGACCAAGGCAGAGACATCTCCAGCTCATCCCCTGTTTGGGTATCAGCCAGCATGTCAATGACTTAAATATAGACATAGTTTTCTAAGATTTACAGAGACACTTGCTGGAACACCTCAGCAAGCGAGAGTCCAAAAGTGGCAGGCTCAAACCCAGAACCTCAACCAATGGCTGATACCAAATGAGAGACTCCCCCCTGGGCACACAGAAGACTGGGCGACTTGGGCTGAACAGACTGCGCTCTGGCACCACGAGATGCAGAGCCAACCTCAAGGAATGAGGCCACAAAGTGGAATCCACGACATGCGAGTGCGGAGAAGAGCAAACCACTGACCACCTGCTGCAATGCAGCCTGAGCCCTGCCACTTGCAAAATGGAGGACCTTCTTGAAGCAACACCAGAAGCACTCCAAGGGGCCAGATACTGGTCAAAGGACATTAAATCAACTACCAAACTCGCAAATTTTGTATTCTGTCTGTTTGTCTTGTTCTGTTAGAAGTGTAATATAATTGACTGTTTGCCCTGACACGACAAATAAATAAAATAACTGAATATTATCTTCTGTTTCTTAGATTTCAATGGGATTTTGACATGACTCTCTTGCCAATTGCAGAAGCTAACTAAGAATTGCCTTGAAGAAACCATTGTTTGTGGAACTGGAGTTTTTATGTCTTTTGTTTCATGTGATTTATAAAGAGCACAGTGGGCTAGTAAGGGTGGGTTTTTATTTTGAGAGTTGATAAGAATTTTAGTTCAAAGGGGAGTCTGGGAACGTATGCCTTAGCCTTCTTTTCAGATGCTCATGGTTGTTCTTGCTCAATTTTAGGATGACGATGAGACTCTGAAGTACCTAACCCTTGAGGAAAAAGACGTCCTTCTCTTCTTTGAAGAAACCATCGATTCCTTAGAAGATGACTTGGAGGAGCAAGCTCTCCATGACAGCGGCATCCATTGCCACTCTCCAAAGTCAGTGGAAGAAAATATGTCCAGCCATTCAGAGTCTGAAGACATCATAGACTTGGTGCAGCCAGGACCAGAGAACGGTGCAGAAGAATCTGTTCCTAGCAGATTCATAGAACCAGGTAAAGAATGAGGTGTTTGGCTTATTGTATTTAGAGCAGTGCCAGCTGTTGGTTCCCTTGTCAACAGGGCAGTGAATCCACTCCAGATGCTTTTAATCAGAATTTTAAAGGAGTGATAGGGAACCTCTTTGGGAGAGATCTGGACCAGTGGTTCTCAACCTATGGATCCCCAGGTGTTTTGGCTTACAACTCCCAGAAATCCCAGCTAGTTTACCATCTGCTAGAATTTCTGGGAGTTGAAAGCCAAAACATCTGGTGATCCACATGTTGAGAACCACCGATCTAGACTAAAGCCAGAATTTGCTGGTATAGGATTCAGCAGCTGCTTGTGTTCTTCCTAACAAAACTGGGTCCATCTTTAACAACAAAAGGGTATTGTTTCTTTTGTATCTATGTATGTATGTATTTATCTATCTATCTATCAGTTTGTTGGTTTTATGTCCCATTCACTATTCACTGTTTTTTTAAAAAATCTACAGAAGTTATTCATTTATTAATTGCTTGAATGGTGACAAGTCTAGTTATTCCTTCAAGTTTCAGTGTTGTGACTAGCCGAGCTGTCAGTTTAATGATCTCAGAGTGTCTGCTAAGAGGTTCAAAAATAAATCATTGAAGCGTGCTATCTTCAGTCAGCTTTGAGCCTGGAGTGGCATTTAAAGTTTTATTGCTATTTCTGAAAACTACAAAACTATATACAGGAGTAGCCAAAGACACATCTTTCCTCTTAGCCATACATTGCTGGAAGAGAACATGTGCTGTTATCACATCTCTGGAATGTATGACGCATCAGGAACTGGCATAAATAATAGCTCTGTGCATTTAACCCTTGCAGAGCATTACATTTCTATACTGAACACAGATTTTAAACTATAAACAATATTTCATCGCATTTAAACCACAGTACTGACATGAGCTACTGCAATGATAAGAAATACATCAAATTTCAAGTTATATGTTCAGAATGTCTTTCTTCACTCACCCATCGGATGATTAGCTTGAGTCTTTTGCCCCAGACACCATTGTTGGCCCTCCGAGTGTTTTGGAATCCAACTCCTAGCTTTCCTGACCATTGTCCGAATTGAGTGTCTTCTGAGATTTGACGTTCCAATCATCATGAGGAATATGTATTTATTTATTTACAGTATTTATTTTCCATCCTTCTCACCCTGCAGGGGATTCAGGGTGGATTACAATGCACATATACATGGCAAACATCCAATGCCATTAGACATACCACATATATAGATAGACACAGAGGCAATTTAACATTCCAGCTTTCTGGCTTCATGCAGGTATGCTCGATTCCAGCCACAGGGGGAGCTGCCGCTTCACCATCCACTTGTGACACCGAGTCCTGATGGAGTATATCCTCATTCTTATGCACGCTGCTGGAAGGTTTTATGGTGTCGTAAATTAGTTAAATTAGCCTCCCCCACATGAAGCAGCGCCTAAATTTCCTACTTGGCAGATGCATCTATCTTTTGGGCTGCATAAGTCAACAGCAAACTAGACTATTAATGGTTGGGAGCTCACTCCTACCCGGGCTGGCTTCGAACTCATGACCTCTCGGTCAGTAGTGATGTAATGGAGCTGGCAACTAACTAGCTGGACCACAACCCAGCCCACAGCCCAGAATACAGTTTGAGAACCACTTCTTGGAGGGCACTGAAGGCAGATAGACTCTGGAAAACATCATACTAACCTTATCACTTGAGATATTGGATGGTGGAGTCCAATCCCTGTCAGGCTGATGGGATAGGCCTTTAAACTGAGAGACCTGGGAAGGAGGAACTATGGGGACAAACCCTGGCATTCACTTGTGCCGAGTGTATAAACTCAGTCCTCTCTCCCATAAGGAGGGTGTTCTTCTATGTAATGTTATTTGAGTATGAATGTATTCTGATGAGATATTACTCTGAACTTTGATTAAAGATAGAATGGTATGAATGAAGAGAAGGACTTCATTACTAGTAGCACCGACTTTAGGGAGCTCATAAAACCCATTCTAGCAAATGTTGTTTTTTAAGTGCCATCAAATTGACTTTGACTTATGGTGGACCCCATGAATAAGAGGCATACAAATCCCTCTATCATCAACAACCCTGCTCAGGTCATGCCGACTGAGTCATGGCTTCCTTGACTAAGTCTCTCTCACTATCTTCTAACTAGCCAATCATTATTGTCTTTCCTAGTGAGTTATATCTTCTTATATAATGTGTTGTGCCACTCCAAACTTTTACCTCTAAGCATGTCAATGGCTGAATGTCCATTCGGCTTGAGTCCAGCTATGTCATTAGCCACAGTGCTACTCATAGCTGCCCCATCCTTTTGTCCCCAGTAGCAAGATTAATGGGCAGAATAAAAACCTACTTTGATATTTAACAATTCCATCATATATTAGGAACTAATTTTAGAGCTTTGTTGATTTGAGAGGACATGACTCATTTGAAAAGACCATTCTTGGCAAGATAGAAAGCAATAGGAAAAGAGGAAAGCCACATTAAAGGCTGGTAGACTCAATTAAGGAAAACCATAGCCCTGAGTCTGCAAGATCTGCGCAGGGGTCTTGGAGACTTCTAACTTACAGGTTCATTATACGAAGGTTGAAGAGTAATGCCTCCACCTTCATAACTCCTCAACAGCTGGCAGTACTGGCATGTGGCAGGTACTGGCTTGTTCAGTAAACGCTCCTGTACAGTTCCATTTTGGCAGGAAGCCTTAACATTGAACGGTTGACTTGTTAAAGCATGAAGTATGGAACCCTGCGCAGGCGGTCAGTGAATGTGACTTAAGCAATGTTCAGTCATTGAATTCTTGACAGCAGAAGGTGTCACCTCATCATCTTTGAACTTACTCACCCAATGACGCACAGTACTCACATCAACACAATTACTATAAACAGCTTGCATTCTCTGATGAATCCCTTTTGCGGTGACACCTTCTGCTGTCACGAATTCAATGACTGCACATTGCTTAAGTTGCATTGACCGACCATCTGTGCAGGGTTCCATAATTCGCACTTTAACAACACAACAACATAACCATTCAATGCTAAGGCTCCCCACCACAATGGAACAGTAGAGGAGAGTCTACTGAACATGCCAGTACCTGCCTTGTACCAGTACTCCCATCTGTTGAGGAATTACAAAGGTGGAGGCATTACTTTTCATTCAACCCTCGTAAATCAAAGTCAACAACAACAATACTGATTATCTTATTCCAAGAAACGTGTTGATGAATTCGTATAATTTGGGTTTTTCTCTCTCCTCTGCTCCATTCTAGAACTAGAGGAAACTTGGAAACTGGATAAATCAGTGGCAAAGCATATTGAGCCACCAGATGAGGAAGTCTGTGTTGATGCCATTGGCTCATCTTCTGTGCAACCGTCAGCTCCTCCATTGCCAATTTACGAAACGTTTCCTCCCCCGCCCCCAGTGCAGCACCCCAAATTGACTCGCTCTGTCCCCACTCCACTAGTCATTGCCCAGAAAATATCTGAGAAGCAGGCAGAGGACAATTCTGTCTCGCCCACTTCACCAAAGGAAGCCAAGTCTGTTGAGAGGAGGAGCGCACTCCCGACCTCACCACTACGCAATGGAGAGCATTTCACAGCTTTCAAGAAACCTGTTCCACCCCCAACTGCACCCAAACCTCAGAGGTTTCCAAGCAACATCAGCATTACCAACATCGGGGAAAGGGAGTTCAGCAAAACCATCTCCAGTGCGGCGGTCAACATCCAAGAACGCAAGGCTCGGGTGTTGGCCAACGTCAACGGTTCACCCTTCCTCATAACGGAGGTGGAGGAGAGACTTCAGAAGCATGACCTCTCAGGTTATGGTAGAAGCTCATCCCTAAGAGATTTGCCTTCAGAGCAAGCGAGGCAGGAGGCCTTGAGTAGACTCGGTTTGGTAGAAGAAGGTTTTGGCCGAGGTCAATGGGATCACTCTGGAAGCATTCCAAGACCAAAAGAGGACAAAGCTGGACAAGTTCAGACTGTGTCAAATGGCTATCGCAATATCCATGAAATCTTAAAGAGGGAATCTGACCACTTCCCAAGCGTGAGCAAAACGGTGACGTTCAAACCGGACGTTGATCTCACAGATGGTAAGTCTGCTCGACAGAATGCCACCAGGAATTTTTATGACCACAGGCCATCATCAAGCCTTAGCCTGGATATAAGGAGGAGAACTGGCTCATTGCCCAGACCCTCTGGACTGAGACCCCAAGGCATCACAGTACAGTTCTCTGGGCGCGGGTCAACAGAAGAAGCCAGGAGGGAGGCGTTACGGAAACTTGGACTGCTCAAGGAGTAGATGATGGACAGTAGAGGGAAGAATATACGATCCCAAAGACAAAATCCAGTGAGATCAAATGACAGCTCTCTCTTTTTCTCTCTCTCCTTGAGATGAAGGAAATATTTAATGTCAGAATGCCAGATATGATTTCTGCTAACATTTTGTCATGGATTTTATTATGATGAGCAATTTGTATTGCTTTATCAAAGTCTTCTCTGGGATTTCAAAAAAGACCAGTAAGTCCATAAGAATCCTAACTTTCAACGGAAGGCATCCTACTAAATGAAGTTTAATTGCGCAGTATTTGTGCATATGTATGTATGTATGTTTGTATGTAGCTGGCAAAAATGTCTGAGTGCATTGCCTTTTCTTTGGACTCCTACCATAATGAAGCCAAAAAAAAGTGAAGAAATGGGTACTGATCAATTATATAATAATAAATGTTGTGTATATATGTATACATATACTGAAGAGGTCAAACATATAATAAAGCTTCTGTCTTTTATTATTGTGAACATTTAACTGCACAGACACACACCACGTATTTCTTTCTTCTGGATAATGGAGGGCATAGAATTGGTCAGAGTGTAAACAACCTAAATACCATAAGCATCAGGTTGCGTATAATTTTGGAAGTTAAGCAGGGTCAGCCCTACTTAACACTTGGATGGGAAGCCACCAAGAAATGCCAGATCAAAGGGCAATTTAAAGGCTCTTATACACACATAACAACAACAACACTTTATTTATATTCCGCCCTATCTCCCCAAGGGGACTCAGGGCAGATCACAGTACACATACATGGCAAACATTCAGTGCTATTTTGGACAGAAAGGAAAGTGACAAGACAAAACAGAATGGAGTTAGTGTTGACATCCAGCTTTTTGGCGCCTTGGAGGTTGTGCTCAAATCCAGCCACCGAGGGGTGCTGTTACTCCATCCTCTATGACGAAGAGCCATCAGGACTTCCACCTACCTTTTGATCACCGGGCATTTTCTGATCTTTTTTCTTTTATAATGTCATAAAATACCTCCCCCACTTGTTTAGCAGTACCTAGTTTCTCTACTTACAGCTCTAAGCTGTTTTTGAACTGCTTAGGTAAACAGTGAGCTGGGCTGACAGTCGGGAGCTCATGCTGACCCAGAGCTTCGAACTGGCAACTTTTCTGTTGGTAGATCTTATTGCTGGTGATTTACCAGTGGCGTGAAAGTCCAGCCCAATAAATCACAGATTTGCCTTTTCTGGAGAGAACAATGTAGTGTGAGTCTTTAAGTAAAGAGCTGTTTCTTTAGATCCCTCAACATTTGGCACTTTCCTACTACAAATCAGATTCCCAGCTGGCAAGACCAAAATCTTGTATTTTCCAAGCTTTATTCACAATATAAGAATAACCCTTGTGGTTCAGGCTAAACAAACCCATCTAATCCAGTGGCCTACCGGATGCTATTGGGAAGCACATACAAGTGGACATGAGCACAACAGCATACTAATAGTATTGAGGATAATACATAGCCATCACAAAAATACAGGTCCTAGGATTCCACAGGATGGATTCATGGCAGTTAAAATGGTATCAATATGCAGTATCTGTGTAATGTGGACACACTTACAAATGTTTTGAACTTCATATCATTGCCAGTGGTTCAAATGGTGGGACTTCTAGAGCATAGCACCTGAATTTCCTCAGATATTTTGGGCTTCATCTTCCAGAAGTGTCAATGTGTCAAGCATAAAGACAGGTGCGAGCAGTATTGTTATTGAGAATTGGTTGTCCCTTTGAAGACAAAATGAAGCATTTTTAGGGTAAGCTACAATCCCTGTTCCTAGAAATGTACACTGAAAAAAAGATATAGATCAGAGATGGGCAAATGTTGGCCCTCCAAATGTTTTGGACTTCAACTCCCACAATTCCTAACAGCCTACTGGCTGTTAGGAATTGTGGGAGTTAAAATCCAAAACACTTGGAGGGCTGAAGTTTGCCCATGCCTGATATAGCTCAAAAGGCGTGAATCTCCCCTCTCCTCACATCACTCTACAGAGTATTCTCAACCATTGTTTACTTTTGTGGTCAAAAGTTATAATAACCCTTGAGTGTGATTATCATTGACCATGTTAGCTGAAACATTCTGGTAGTTGCAGTCCCAAAAAAAAAGTAACTTTCCCATTATCTATTCTAAATTCATTTTGAACTTGAAACATGAGCAGTTTGAATCATGCAGCTGTACTTGAAATACCAGGAATTGTTTCAAAAATGTCATTAGATCTGCACCATCTTTGGGCCAAATAACATTTACTTTGGGTTGTTGTAGGTTTTTTGGGCTGTGTTGCCATGTTCTAGAAGCATTCTCTCATGATGTTTCACCTGCATCTATGACAGGCATCCTCAGAGGTTGCGAGGACTTTACCTGCATCTATGACAGGCATCCTCAGAGGTTGTGAGGACCTTACCTGTATCTATGACAGGCGTCCTCAGAGCTTGTAAGGATCTCACCTTCATCTATGGCAGGCATCCTCAGAGGTTGTGAGGAACTCACCTTCATCTATGGCAGGCATCCTCAGAGGTTGTGAGGACCTCACCTTCATCTATGGCAGGCATCTTCAGAGGTTGTGAGAACCTCACCTTCATCTATGGCAGGCATCCTCCGACGTTGTGGGGACCTCACCTGCATGTATGGCAGGCATCCTCAGAGGTTGTGAGGACCTCACCTGAATCTATGGTAGGCATCCTCAGAGGTTGTGAGGACCTCACCTGCATGTATGGCAGGCATCCTCAGAGGTTGTGAGAACCTCACCTTCATCTATGGCAGTCATCCTTAGAGGTTGTGAGGACCTCACCTGAATCTATGGTAGGCATCCTCAGAGGTTGTGAGGACCTCACCTGCATCTATGGTAGGCATCCTCAGAGGTTGTGAGAACCTCACCTTCATCTATGGCAGGCATCCTCAGAGGTTGTGAGGACCTCATCTGCATCTATGGCAGGCATCCTCACATGTTGTGAGGACCTCACAACCTCTGAGGATGCCTGCCATACATGCAGCTGAAACATCAGGAGAGAATGCTTCTAGAACATGGCCACACAGCCCAGTGATTCCAGCCATGAAAGCCTTTGACAATACATTGAACAGGTACTTTATTTTGTTGTAATTTAAGACTCTGTTCTCATCCTGGTCTAAAAGTTATTCCTTCTGTTCAGAAAACAGAAGTTTTGGAGAGGATTTCTACACTCACGATTTTTCTTAGATCTAAAAACATAAAAGAATCTGTGTATGTATCGGTATAAGAACTGTATGTTTGTGTGCGAGAGAAAGAAGCTTTGCCACTGTGAATTTGCATCATCTCCTATCAAATACATTGCTTGAACCTCCAAGCTAGTTCTAACAGATGAAGGTTGTTGTGAAGGAATTTCATATATCATGGTTTGTCTCAAAATTAACTTATTCCTACAAATACAGTTTAATCTGCTTTCATTTCTTTAAACTGCTGTATATTTGGTTTTCTTTACATGTAGGTTCCGCTCAGAATGCTAAAAATATTTATACATTTATTGTCATACTTCTCCACTGATGTTCAACTATGCTGTAACATCCAGTAGCTGAAATAAACATGGTTGTCTCCGGAATTTTGGTCTAGTCTTTTGACAAGCTGTGATGCTATTCTAATTTATTGCTATGTGTCTCCAATTAGTAGACTTAGCACGATGAACAAAATCTTAAATGAACAAAATCTGGCTACCAGTATTTAAAACAACTCTAAAATTATAACAGCAAATAAAGAACAACACTCAAACACGGGGGAACCCCAAACAAGAAACAATCAGGGACAGCTAATCTCCACTTAACAAAGGATTCCCCCAAGCAGTAACAAGCTACACCTAAAAACTGCCAGGCCATCAAATGCTAATCAAATTGGCCAATTTAAACATTAACACGTACCTCCAACAGACAACAGTTCTGGACATTCTACAGATAAATAAACTCAATTTTCCTAGTTTCCAACAGACCTCACAACGTATTGTCGAAGGCTTTCATGGCCGGAATCACTGGGTTGTTGTAGGTTTTTCCATGTTCTGGAGGCAATTTTTCTCCTGACGTTTTGCCTGCATCTATGGCAAGCATCCTCAGAGGTAGAGAGGTCTGTTGGAAGTAGGAAAAATGTGTTTATATATCTGTGGAATGACCAGGGTGAGAGACAAAGGACTTTTGTCTGCTGGGGCTAGGTGTGAATGTTTCAGCTGATCACCTTGATTTGCATTCAATGGCTTGGAAGTGCCTGGGGGGAATCTTTGTTGAGAGTGATTTTATGTGCCTGTTTGTTTCCCCTCTGTTGTTTTGCTGTTGTAATTTTTGAGTTTTTTTTAATACTGGTAGCCAGATTTTGTTCATTTTCATGGTTTCTTCCTTTCTGTTGAAATTGTCCACATGCTTGTGGATTTCAATGGCTTCTCTGTGTAGTCTGACATGGTGGTTGTGAGAGTGGTCCAGCATTTTGTGTTCTCAAATAATATGCTGTGTCCAGGTTGGTTCATCAGGTGCTCTGCTATGGCTGATTCCTCTGGTTGGAGTAGTCTGCAGTGCCTTTCATGTTCCTTGATGCGTGTCTGGGCGCTGCGTTTGGTGGTCCCTATGTAGACTTGTCCACAGCTGCATGGTACACGGTAGACTCCTGCAGAGGTGAGAGGATCCCTCTTGTCCTTTGCTGAACGTAGACCTCACAACCTCTGAAGATGTCTGCCATATATGTGGGTGAAATGTCAGGAGTGAATGCTTCTGGAACATGGCCATATAGCCCGAAAAACCTACAAAACCCATGATTAAGTCATTTGAATGTTGGACTATGACTCAAATCCCTGCTCAGACACAGAAACATATCTTGGGCAAGTCACACTCTCTCAACCTCAGAAGAAGACAATGCACACACACACACCCAATAAGTCTTGTAAAAAAAACCTTTGTGATGGTATCACCTTAGGTTTGCCATATGTTGAAAAAGTCTTGAAGGCACACTACAGCAGCAACAAAGGGATGTTAGTAGACCACAAGATGAACATGAGTCAACAATGTGATGTGACAGCTTAAAAAAAATGTGATTCTAGGCCAGTGGTTCTTAACCTGTGGGTCCCTGGATGTTTTTGGCCTTCAACTCCCAGAAATCCTAACAGCTGGTAAACTGGCTGTGATTTCTGAGAGTTGTAGGCCAAAACACCTGAGGACCCACAGGTTGAGAACCACTGCTCTAGGCTGTATCAATAGGAGCATAGTGTGTAGATCAAGGAAAATAATAGCACCACTGCATTCTGCTTTGGTCAGACCTCACCTGGAATACTGTTCTGGACACCACAATATTGAGAAGTTGGAATGTGTCCAGAGGAGGGCAGCCAAAGTGGTCAAATCCCAGGAAATCATGAATGTTTATGAGGAGTGGAACTAGACATGTTTAGCCTGAAGAAGAGAAGGTGAAGACATATTAAAATATTTGAAAGGATGTCAGGTTGGAGATGAACAAATTTGTTTCCCTGCTCTAGAGACTAAGGCACGGAGCAATGGATTCACACTATAGGAAAAGAGATTCCACCTAAACATCAGGAAGAACTTCCTGATGGTAAGAGCTCTTTGACTGTGAAATACTCTCCTGGGATTGTGGTGGAGTCTCCTTTTCAGGAGGTTTTGAAACAGAAGGTAGATGCCCATCTGCATTGATTTCTGCATGGCAGAATGAGGTGGAAATGAATGGGCTATGTGATCTCTTCCAACTCTATGATTCTAACACCAAGGAGACTCCAGCTTATGCCAACCCCATCATAGCAACCCTTTGCTTGGTAAGATTATTCAGAGAAGATTTGCCATTGCTTTTCTCTGAGGCTCAGATAATATGACTTGTTCACGGTCAACCAATGAGCTTCCATGGATGAAGGGGGATTCGCCAACAATCAAAACCACGACACGAGGTTAACCATTGTAAATAAGAACAATAATGAAAAATGTTGCCAAGGGTGCCAAAAACTGGAACCTACATGCATATTTGGTGGGATTGCAAATATGTGCCATCACACCCAGACCCTATAAAAATAAAACTAAGATGTGCTTCTCTCTTTGTCTGGGCATACCGCAGGGGTTTTTCTTTAAAACTTCTTTCTTTCAAAATTTCTCAGCAACTGAGGCCACTTCGGGTTTGGAACATCAAACAGAATATTTATTTCTCAAAGTCCTTGCAGACTGGCACAGCTTATCAAAGTTACAAACAAAACAGTCAATTGGTGAAACCATAGAGATGATTTTTCTTTCCTTTTCCTTCAGTTACTGAGGTGCCTCCATCCAAATGGTAGAAAAAAATCCTGAGATCTTTTTACCCCAACCCTGAGCCACTATCTTTTAGAAAGCGTAGGCCTTCCCTATTCCAGCCCAAGGTCAGTTTTGGAAATGAAGCAAATAGTGTTCAATAACTATTTCTCAATAACTCAAAATCTATCTATAACTCAATTGCTCAACCACTATCTATAGTATCTCAATCACTAAACTGAACTTTCTATCTATTTCTCAATCAGCTTCTTTATCTATATAACTCAATAGTTCTTACAATGGTTTTCTCAGAGTACCTGCCTGACCAACAGCACATCTGAAGCTTTCTTCTCTACTGAAGGAGGCAGGGAAGATTCCAAAATGGAGATCTCAACCCCTGGAAAAAAGGTCGTCCCTAGACCCAAAGAGATACTTTTCTAAACCAATAACTGCAGAAGGGCTTGCAGTCTGGCTTTGCAGACTCTGACACTGTTTAACTTCCAGGGTGCTGCTGGGTCTGTAGTAGCCCTGGGGAAATGCAAAAGAACACCATCCCGTGCAACTAAAAGGTAATGCAAACTATGCTCCTGGAAGACGGAACAAAATATGTAAAACATTTTTGGGAATTGGTTATAATGGAAATAGAAAATATTATGGATATAAAAATTAGGAGGAATCCAGTAGAAATATTACTTTTAATTTAAAAAAGAAGACGGGAAAGATAAGAGGGGAAAAAATTAATAGACATGCAATTAACAGCAGCTAGATTATTAATTGCAAAATATTGGAAAAAGGAAATAAAAATACAGATTAATGAATGGTATAAAGAAGTCTGGAAAATGGCACTGAACGATAAACTAACATCAAATTTAAAAGTAAAGAAGGGATTATGTAAAAAACATAACTTTGAAAGTATCTGGAGAAAATTTCTAGAAAAATTATTGGAAAAGGAAGATGGGAATTTCCCTCCAAATGAAGAACTGAACTTTTGGTGGGACTTTAGAAAAACAGATGTCTCTGGAGAAGGGGAGCACAGGGGTGAATGTAAATAAAAGAGAGGGAAATGTATAGTATATGTCTGTATAACTATATTTTCTTTTCTCAAATAAAATTTATTTTAAAAAACAACTATGACACTCTCTTGATTCCTTTATTTATTTATTTAGAACTTTTATATACCGGTCTTCTCACCTCCAACGAGGGACTCAGGCCAGTTTACAACAGAGGAGTTCATACACAATAGTTAAAAACATCACATCCTATAAAACTCTAATATAAAACACATTAAAATAAAATCATATAATTACATGCCAATTAGCTTCCGAGCACAATTCAAAGTGCTGGTGTTGACCTATAAATCCCTAAACGACTCCAGCCCAATTTACCTGTCCGAACGGATTCTCCCCTATGAACCATCAAGGTTGCTAAGATCTTCTGGAAGGGCCCTGTCCATCACCATCCGTCCGTGTGATCAAGGGTTATTGACTCACTGATCAAATGCCAGGTTCCAGAGCCAGGTTTTCACCAACTTTCTAAAGATCAGGAGGGAAGGGGCAGTTCTATCTCCAACGGGAGAGAGTTCCACAGCCGAGAGGCCACCACCGAGAAGGCCCTGTCCCTCGTCCCCACCAGACGCGATTGCGAGGGTGGTGGGACCGAGAGCAGGGCCCTTCCAGAAGATCTTAGCAACCTTGATGGTTCATAGGGGAGAATCCGTTCGGACAGGTAAACTGGGCCGGAGTCGTTTAGGGATTTATAGGTCAACACCAGCACTTTGAATTGTGCTCGGAAGCTAATTGGCAGCCAGTGGAGCTGGCGCAACAGAGGAGTGGTATGCTCCCCGTACACTGCTCCTGTTAGTAATCTGGCTGCCACTCATTGGACTAATTGCAGCTTTGGACTAATTCCTTGCTATCTATGGTGCAAAAAAAACACATTCTTAACTTCCAACTGCAGTTTCTGGAATATCTCTTTTTTTGGCTTGGATTTTGTCTTTTTTATAAATGAATTTATAATTATATTATGATTACATATAATTATTTTATTATTTGGTTTTTAGTGTTTAATAAAGAGGCAGGTCCCCTTTCCACTTGCCAGATGTTTTGGCCTCCCATTCCCATCTACTCCACCCAGCACAACCCATGGTAAGACATTGTTGCAGTTGCAAGCCAAAACCTCATTGGATCCAAAAGTTCCCCACCCCTGCTTTAATGGCTTATAAAGAAGTGCTTTGGAAAATGGAAAGCTACAAAGACGGAATGAACTAACCATGGTTATGTCTCAAGTATGAAAATTGAATGTGAATTACTATTTACAGAGCTGGAATAAAGGGCTCTGTCTATAT